TATCTTTTACCTCAATAACCTCCTTAAGGCTCCATATAATCGAATTGAAAGTCACATCATAATTTTCCTCTTCTTATACGGATAATATGATCTGACATTAACCCGACCCGTTCCCACTCCCTCCCCACCACCCAATGACTCGGCAAGAAGCAATTTTTATGGCGCGTGTTTTTGTTTAGTTTAAATTTCTTTCTTTAAAATAGTTTTGAATAGCGTTTGGTCCTCATATAAGATGAACTTTTGACCGTTGGTTTCTTTCTTCATCCATCTTCTCACCTTTGATTGAAATTATGGGTTACGAGTGCTTTTTAGCGTCTCCATTCTGTATGATGCACACTACTTGTTCGACGAAATGCTTCAACGAACAGCTAACAACTTTGGACCTATTGGATGCTGTTGAGATCTAACTGTTTGATTTTGATTTTGATTTTTTTTTGGGACAAATGTGGTCCTTCTTGAATCGGCAAGGAATAATAAAATTCGCAGCTTATCTTTTTGGCCCATCAACATTGAGAACAGGTACAAGATTTGCTTCTATTGTTTTTCAACAGATAAAATTTAATTTACAATTGAAATGAATGATTTCATAATATTTTCATTATAGGGAAGTGTTTTCGAGTTTCAAGATCGTATATGTCAAGCTTCCTTCCTGAAGAACTTGAGAACAATAATGAGAGCAAGAGCACAACAACAATGTCTCTAGCGAAGAGCTTGGCTTGCCTTCCCGATGAAGCCTTGGTCCCTAATAAGCATAGAGACCGAACCCGTGTAGAAATGAAGAGATTGATCGAGCTTCGAATTAAGAAGAGGGTAAAATCCCAGTATTCAAACGGAAAATTTTATAATCTTATGGAGAAAGTCATTGCCAAGGCTGACACTCTCCAAGATTCTTATGATATAATCCGCCTCAATTCTAATGTTGAATTGGAAATGCATAGAGATGAGATATGCTTCAATTCAATGGCACAACAGCTTGCAAGTGGGGGTTTTGATGTTCAAGGGAATGTTCTGGAAATCGGTGTGAAGTGCGGAATGAGAGAGTCGTTGATTCTTCCTAGGCTAAAGTTGAGAGTTATTCAAGAAGCGATTAGGGTAGTTCTGGAGATTATTTATAGGCCACATTTCTCTAAGATTTCACATGGGTGTCGAAGTGGAAGAGGTCATCGGTCAGCTCTGAATTCTATATGCAAAGAGCTCCAGAAGTCGGATTGGTGGTTCACTCTACACCCGAACAAAGAAATAGATGATAGTGTTCTCTCCAAGTTAATATTGCTCATGGAGGAAAAACTCAAAGATGATCAATTGACTGGATTTGTACGTCGCATGTTTGATGCTAAAGTTCTAAACTTGGTGTTTGGTGATTTTCCAAAAGGTCATGGGCTTCCTCAAGAAGGAGCCCTTTCGCCTATTTTGATGAATATTTATCTCGATAGCTTTGATTGTCAAGTGTTCCAAATGTCCATGAGATATGAAAGTCTTGGTCCTGAATCTGGCGCCAATAAAGATAGCACAAGCTCAAAATTACGCAATTGGGTTCGAAGACAGATAAAACACAATAATGTGCAATCAGAATATTTTGAAGCAGTAAGGATATATGTTTGTCGATTCATGGATGAGATATTTGTATCAGTTTCAGGTTCCAAAGATGTTGCCCTTAATATAAAGCTTGAGATGGTTAATTACCTAAAGAACTCATTATATCTAGATGTAGAAAACAGAGAGGACATATCAAAAGTTAGAGATAATCTTCGAGGAGTGCAGTTTCTTGGATCAGTTCTTCGGGTTATACGTAAAGAGAATGATGCAGTTAGAGCTGTGCACAAATTGAAGGACAAGGTGAGGCTTTTCGCTTCTCAAAAGCGAGAGATTTGGGATTCATTGAATGTTAGGATTGGTAGAAAATGGCTAGCACATGGATTGAGGAGAATTAAAGAATCGGAGATTAAGGCACTTAATCTTAGCACTCCGCAATTGGATCATATCTCTCAATTTCGTAAAGATGGCATGAAAACCGATCATTGGTTCAAGTCATTAATCAAGATTTGGATGCAAGATGTGAAAGCTGACGGTGAAGCTAATGAGGAGGTAGTCCTTTCTAAATACATTGCTGAGCCTTCATTACCACAAGATTTGAGAGAATCTTTCTATAATTTCCAGAATCAAGTTGAAAACTATGTCTCAACAGAGACAGCTTCAACTCTTGCCTTACTACCTGCAGAGATTGAAACAGAAACAATGGTTACTAGAAGGGAGGCACCGATTAGTTATATAACAAAAAGCCTTCATCGTTATGGACTTGTCACTATTGAAGGATACCCAAGGTATATTTCTGCTTTAATACTAAAAGATGACAATCTAATCATAAGTTGGTACTCAGGACTTGTTTATAGATGGCTTAAATGGTACAATGAGTTTGATAATTTTGAAGACATTAAGCTCCTTATAGTTGAGTGTGTCAGGAAATCATGTATTAAAACTTTGGCAGCTAAATTTCGGATTCATGAGAGTTTGATAGAGAGGAAATTCGAATCAGAGATTAGTGAAATTCCTATGACACAAGATATTGAGACCAATGTGACAGGAAAAGATGAAGAAGATGAAGATGAGGGTTTGATGTATGGGATTTCTCATTCTGGGCTTTGTTTGTTAACGCTGTCGAGAGTTAGGGTGCCAATGAGGATGAATTGTTTTGTGATGGGCTGTAATGTTGAATCGCCGAGTATGTATATAATTCATGTGAAGGAGAGGCAAAGATTTCCAGGATGGAGTACAGGGTTCTCTAGTTCGATACACCCAAGCTTGAATGCAAGAAGAATTGGTATTTGTAACCAGCATGTTAAGGATTTATATCTGGGTCATATATCTCTCCAATCTATAGAGTTTGGAGTTTTGAGCAGGTAGCACCTTCAGGCTTCGAGATATTTCAGCTTTCACAAGGCATATACTTATGATTGCTGTGGCCTGATAATTCTTAGTCAATACCAGCATCTGTTATATCAGTAATTAGAGGTATTTATTTCAGATTTCATTATTTTCTGTAATATCATTTTTTTCAGCATCCATAATTTAATTTTCAATTTTCAGTGACATTATGACCATATTGTAAGTGACTACCTAATCTTTATAATATATCTGAAAACAATGACATCTCTCCCTAAGTTTTTGGTTTAAATTTGTTATTTGCTATGTTTGCATATTCTGTCAAAAATTTATCCGACAAAGACTGAAAGTTATAATTTCTTACCTGGAAGGAATTCAGTATAGTATTATTTCTTGTCAGTTATCAACTGATCTCGCTTCGACACTTTCAAGTATAACTTCTACTAATTAGTGAGTGCATGAAATATTTTCAAGGCTTAAATCCTTAAGCCAAAGCCTCAATAGGTTGAGTACCTAAATTTTTTGAACTTACACTATGACGAGGTCATTGATACTCTCTTGTTGCTAATTTCTATTTGCCTCCATATAGTTTCTCCCCTCCTATTAATTTCATTTATCTGAGATGGTGGTGTTTAACATGTTCCACTTTGGTCTTCATCTTATTTTCTGCGAATTTCAGTAGTATTCTATTTCTTTCTGCTTATGATTCGCGTGTTTTAATATCTTTTATGTGCATGTGCTAATAGATTTGAATGTTTTCATTTTCTGATATAATTATCGTTATAATTCTACATTTTATGAATTTCCATTTTTTTGTATTGTTTTAAAAGGTTTATACCTTCACCTACTTTAATAAGCTCAGGAATACTCTCCTATAGGGCTCCCTGATCCAGAGATAGATCCAAACTTAGCATAAGGAATGGCCCTCCCTTCATACATGTCACTCTTCAAAATATGGTGCATGAAGCTCATCAATAGGCACATAAACTATTTCCTTCATTTAATCCAAGTGATCTTTTGAGATGTGAGGCTCTTACTTAGAGAGTCAGATCATATGTGGCTTCTATTATTGTCCTACCACATAATACATAAAGATATGGGCATATTATCTGCATTTTTCAATTTTAAAAGGTTGCAGACACTATCTTTGTCAAAAGCTTCCAAATAGTGCCAGAAGCTTGCAGACATTTTCTAAAGCAGTTTAGTGAAATATACGGGACAAAATTATGTGCATGTGTACAACAGTACAAGGAAACAAAATGAGGACGGGATCATTCGAAAATAACTGGATATCATATATTTATGGAAAATTTTATTGGTGACAGTGATTCTTCTATTTTATTATCATTATTATTTTATAGCAAGGCTTCCCTTATCAATGTGGGCTTACTACAGGCCAGTTTGGTATTGCTTTTTTTAGGGTGTTTCTGCCTATTTTTTTGAGAAGCACTTAATAATTATGGTTGGTGAAAATTTTTTTGCATGCTTATTGAAATTACTTCCGCTTTTAAAGGGTTTCTTTTAGAAGCAACCACATGATGCTTTTTAAAAACAGCTTCTGCTTTTTTTTAGTTTATATACCATGTATTACATTTATCTTTTGACAATAATCTTTAAGCACATTTATAAGTTACATCTATAGACTACTTTATATAAACAACTTATTATAAGGTTTAGTAATACCAAACTGACCCTACATACCCAAGATTGAAGTAATCAATTTTCTGACTTGATCAATTGATTGAATTTTTCGTACTTATGTGATATGTTTTTTTTTTTGACAATTTTGTTATTATGTACTTTACGTGTCCTATATATATACTACACAATTTTCCTCTCATTTTGTATACAAAAAGATGTGTAGAACAATTTTCGATAGTTCATGCTGTTTTTCTAACCATGATAGTTTTCTCTATCGAAAAAATTATATGTAATTTTGTGCATAACCGATAAAATCCATAGTCATTTTGTGAAATTTATCCAAAAAATCCAAACAGTTAGGGAAAAAAAGAAAAGAAAAGAAAAGAAAGAAGTTGTCCCACATGTTGATGGAGATAAAAAGACCCACCCAGTGGCGGAGCCACATAGATGGGTGGGGGTGCCTTGGCGCCTCCAACATTTTTCATATTTGGTCCTCAGTCTCTTCGTGCCTAAAATATTTCATATTTTGATATTAGTCCTTCAATCATTGATTTTGTTATTAGGTTCCCTCAAATGCTTAAGTTAATTAAAATTAACCACTCAAATCACTGAAATTGCTATTAAGTTCTCCAATTTCTAGAGGTTGTTGTTTCAAATTAATCATGACGATTGACAGACCTAATTGCATTTTTATTTATTTGATGGACTAATGATTTAATAACTTAACAATTATGGAAGCTGGAAGCAATTTGAATAATTTGAGGGATCAATTTCAAAATATTAAAGATTGAAGAGAGTAATTTGAGAAAAACCCTTTTTATGAATACATAAGTAATAACTCATGCATGTATTTTGAATTCTTATATTCAAAAGATCTGACAACAGAGCAATAGGTATGTATAACTGAAATGAAAATGAAAGGCACATCCTTTTGCATTCATTTATGTTCATCATTTTCTGAAATAAAAAAAAGGTCATTTCTGAAGATGACAGAGATTCTAACAGTCAGGAGACAAAATAATACTCTTGCATTATATGGTGGGCGAGGAATTTCACACCGCATTCCTTGGTTCCAGCTGAAGCCAAAAAAACGAGGCAGGTGTACAAGGAAACATTGTACAGATTTGGACCTGTTGAAAACATACAAATACATAATTTTCTTTTCAAATATATCTCTCTCAGCTACTAGTTAAGGCGTCAAATCCATGAGAGCAGCAAGTTTGATCACTGCTGCTAAAGATTCACTAGTTTGTAGGGTTCAATATGGAATCTTAGATATCAGACAAGTGATTATTTGTGAGGCCGCAAAGATCAATGAATTGACATATAGTAGGTTAACATACTGGGACTAAATTGAGTTTAAGAGATCAACCTTCAATTGGATGATGAGTCCAACTAAGTTAAGCCAGACGCTCATCAAGGAATCATTGCAGAGCAGGACTCCATCTCATATTTGTTAGATAGAATCCAACAATTGAAGAGAATTATTACTGCAGCACTCTAATCCGAAATAAAAGGGCAAATACAGCAACAAACTTCAGATTTTAAAGACAGCACGTACACAAACACATTTACAAAGTACACACTTTCCTTTTCTTCTTTAACTAAATAGCAACTCATCTACAGGACACAAAAAATATATAATACAAGCCTGCAATGGTGCCTGCAATCACATAAAATTTACTATAGACATCAGTAGCAAAACCTATAAATTATGTACAAGGCCAGATTAATATGGCCAAACATCATCATCATCATCATCATCATCATCATCTCATCTCCAGGCTATGACCAAGCTCTTGTCCGAAGACTGTTGAGAAGCTCTAGAGGGCTGAACAACAGGGAGATTTGGGATTGAAGGAAATGGTTCAGGTATGGATACTGGCTTCTTTCGGTAGGTAAAAGAGAGGTCTTTGTTTGCATCAAGAGCAAGGAGCTCCGATTCTTCGAGGCCTTTTGCTGGTCCTAGGCTGCATCTCTCAGTGGAGTGCTTAACCAAGGCATCTCTGAATTTCTTAATCTGCAGCAGCAAGAGAAAAAAAAATCAACAACCCATGCCTCAAAACTTTAAAGTTAAAGATTCATGCTC